ATTACATTAACAATTTTAAGCTTAAGCTTTTCACGCATATTTTTTGAGAGATTTATTTTGAAAAGCTCAAACACTCCAAGGTAACAACCCGTCAATTTATCAACTTGTAGTGTGCATATTTTTACGGTTTTTATTGAACGTCTCTTACCTTAGCTTTGTGAGAAAGCATTATATGAAGAGCTTGTGTGTTTGTAATTGAATAACTAAGTAGTTAGTGATTGGGTAGCATTTGTGAGTTTAAGCGCAAGTGCTTGTAAGGTAAATTGTGCATTGCACATTTAGAGTTAGGCGTGGGGGATTGTTTGATTTGAATTGACTCAAGTAGGGAAAAAAAATCAATTTTAATTGCTTTTTTTTTCTGAAGGAGATATGAGTAATCAGGGTAGGGTGGACTTAGGCTCTGAGTTGAGTTGAACCTTGATAAATCTTGGTGCTCTTATTGCTTTAATTGTTTTACTGTTTTTGCTATGCAAAAACCAGTTATAGGCGTCACTCGAAGTGCGCCTACGTGGAGCATAGGTGAATATGCTTGGCAATCATAGGAAGTTGGATTTGACATTATAACGATACGGACAAAAGTGTAGGGAGCCGCCAACAAGTTTTTAAGGAACTTGTAAACCATTCATGGATCATTAAAGGCGACCACGAAAAGGGACAAAACGAAAGGCAACAACGATTTGATCCATGAAGGTTACACCCAATTCATAATCCATGAGATTACTAACTCCATAGTGGTCCTGAACCATAACTGGATATTCAGGGATGATGGTACGGATTGAGTCATGAACCCAATAATGTCCGCATTGGCCTCTATTCGATTCTAAGTATTAATTGCAACCCAAAAGACATACAAACAAGATTCATTTCGCTCCAAACTAATTAATCTAAGTCGGTTGAATATTTAATGAACACATAAAACTAATTATTGTGATCACTTGAATTAAACAACAAGATTACTGGGAACCTAAACCAGTTGTCCATATTATCTTACTAGGTGTGACTTTCCTACTTAAACATGCAATATATATAGATGATCAAAACAAAAATAGAATACCATATATATTAAATAAGTATGCATAAAAATATTGGAAGCAACTCGATAATAATTAAAGAACGAATTAAAAGCATCCTAAACATGATACTAAATAATTACTAATAAAATCCTAGGCATGATACTAATAATTAAAAATAAATCCTAAACATGATATTAGTAATAAAGGCATTAAAAATAATTAGAGTAAATAAAAATAAGAGAATTAAATACTCACTTTGATTATGCAACCTTGAATAATACATCATAAAATTGTTAGTAACTTTAATAAAAGTAATAATTCAAAAGAATTAAATTAAATAATTAAAGAAATTAATATCACCATCGGGATTATACCTTCACGCCTTGGTCAAAAAGGTAGAACATTTGGATCTTGTTTTGGACTTTGAATTACTTGAATAGAATTATATTAGAAATAAAGCTAAGAACAATAGATATTGTACGTCGAAACTTTACGTCTAAGCCTTTTGGGATGATTTGGGATTGATAAAATATTTGTATGGATGTCAAATTCGCCTCCTAAAAATCAGAATAAAGGGTGGAATTTATAGCATAAAATCGGGTAAAGATAGAATTTAGAAAGAGGATAGAATTTAGAAAACGCGTTGCATGGGTCACCAATTTTGCGGTTTTTGTTTTTATCATAACTTTTGATCCAAAACTCGGAGTAAGATAAATAATATATCGTTGGAAAGCACTAGAAGTATTATTTTTCAACCAATTAGATTCAGATAAATCTTTTGTAGAATTTAATATATAGCCGAAATAGTGGAATGGTGTCAGTTTTGAATAGAGATTGGTATTTTGATCATATCATTTTCGTTACAAATCGAAATTGGGATTATAATATAATCATTGGAAAGATTATTTCAAGGGTTATCCAACCATCTACGATTTGGATAAAAATTATGAGGCATGAAAATCAGATTTGCTCGGTTTTGGGCTGCAATTTTGAAAATAGGAAATTGGGTTAAGGTTTATGGATTTTAGGCTAAAAAAAAAAGGTTTGGTAATAAAATGGCTAAAAACTGGTTAGGAAATGATAATGGGCTAGAACAAAAGGACTATTAAGTAATTCTTAGAACCTTTACGTGAATCGGACCAAATTAGGAAATGAATGTTGTTTTATCATTGGGCTTTAGTCGGGGAGACATTTTTAGGTGTCTACACCAGCTCTACTAGTTCCCCTTTACCTAAGAAAATTAATAAGGACATTAATTGTTATCGTACTCAATTCAACTCCCCTTCTTGAGTGTCATTTGCACTTTCACTTTATCTTCTTGAAATTCTTCGCACTTTAAGTTTCATCAATGCGAATGTCCAAATAAAAAAACGACTAGAATGAACACTAAGAACCACCAAAAAGTTGCCACGTAACCTTTATTCATATGCCAACGTTATACCCTTGCTTTTTTTTCGATAACATGATGGCTTATATAACGTTGGGACAATTGTTGTTTACATCATCAATTAGTCATAAAGAAGGGATTTTGTTGGAGATTTCTCCTGTTCAACAAAATCTTCTCAATTCTTTAGTGATGTTTGAGACGAACTACGTAATATAAGAGAGGGGTGAATTGTAGTGAGCTCCCATACAATTAATTTTTGCAGAATTAAAACAAAGACGTAAAGGAGCTAAATGAGAAGACAACATATTTTATGAAGAAATCTTCCAGGACCCAACTAGAAGTAAAACCTCGACCATCAAAGGATTTTCCTAATAGCCTCTTTCACTATAAAAGGCCAAAGATACCTACATAAAATTTACTATATTCGGACATTTCCCTCAAGTTCCTAACTTGAAATTGTCAGCAAGAATCTAACTATTCCTCGCTCAAATGGAATTCTAGATTCAAGTTCTCAATAGCACTTCCAGAGTCCTACTAACTCAACCTCACATTAAAAGCCTACACTCTTCAATCTCTCAAATGAATTCTCAAATTATATTATTGAATTCATTTGAATTCACTCACCCCCCGAACCAATTACAACGCAATATGTGACTAATATAAGAATGGAAAATAACACATGAAACTTGAAACTAATATGACAAACTTGAATTACTTCTAAGTTCTCTTATCTAGGTAGGTTTTCACGCATAAATTCATACTTTACTTTGAACACTTAATCTCTTATTATTGATAGAATAGCTTTAGGCTTTCAAAACAGAAGGATAAAGATCAAGACCAGCTATACAACTAACTTTAAATCGTCTTTATCATTTTGATCAACACCGAGCAAACACTTCTTGTACGAATTCTTTTGGTAAAACCGTTTTCAAAGACAAAAATAAGAAAAGATAAATATATACTTAAACAATCAACTATATCTCTTAAAATAAAAACTTTATCTTTTCAAAACCAATTAAAACTTTACCTTATTAAATCCACCGATTTTCCTCCTAAATTAAGCAGTATCATGTTTCAAATAAGTTTCATACATTTACTAAGTTCTAACTCATTATATTCATCCTAAAGTTACAACTAACTTCAGATTTCATGAAAAGTCTCTGAAATGTCTTCATTCCAACTTTTGTACTTGCGCATTGTTGACTGAAACTTAGGGCACTATTCCACTTTTGTTAGCTATTCGCAAACACTATTCCTCTCTAGAACTCGCAGACCAAGCTTCTTCACTTTAGCTTGTTGTCATACTCCTGTTAGAGAGCTAGCAAAATCTCTTTGGTTTTTTTTTTTTTTTTTTTTTTTTTTTTTTTTTTTTTTCAGGAACTCTTTTTCCATTTTACTTTCTTGACCTTGTTCCTTTAGCTTGCCTTGTACCAAGTTCTTCCATACACTCTAAGAATTTACTAACCTGCATACATGCAAACACTCAAGGAACAATTAGATGGTGTGAAGTTTGCTCGTCATCATTAACTGATCCTCAAAACCATATAGGGACAACATCTAGGCATGTAGTTTTAGAAGAGTACTACTTATGGAGTTTTGTTGATTACTTCTTCCACCCATCACCTCCTCAAAGTGTCTAACCCATTGACAAAACTAATTATAAAAGGTATTGTTAAGGCCGATCATCGGTCCAAGACCGATCTTAACTAGGCTGGACCGAAATTGAAATTTTCAAATTCGTGACCCTAAGACTTGACTTGTTATGCTAGGACTGAAATTGTAATCGAAATGAATAGAAATAACTAATCCAAAACCTGGACCTAACTTTAGATTAATCAAGACCCAAAATTGGACTAGTTTCCAATTGATTAGAAGTATTGCTTTACATTTTTTTTTTTAATAATACTAGTTGTTGGTGTGCGCCCCACGCGCGCACCCCTCTTCCCCCCCCCCCCCCAATTTTGCAAAATGTATTTTGGGAAAATACTTTTGATGTGTGTTTACTACGGATTAATCAATATGTTTATGACTAGTTCAAATTATCTTCACTAAACAATTATCTATAAGGTTGTTCTCTAACTTACATAAATAATTCGCATGTTGTTCTTGTGTTGTTTTATGAAAGGATTCTTGTGGAATTCACGGTATATTAAGTTCAATTCTAATATGGTTGGCCGGCTAAATATGTTTTTTCTAAGAGTACTACTTGAACTTGTAAATATAGAATGCATGACAATGTATTTTCTTTCTAAACTACTCATTTATTTTCTATAGTTTTGCAAATTTTCCTTATGTTTTCATCTCCTTATTCTGCTTGTTATTGAGAAAAAGAGTATTGTTGCAATTATTTGTTTTTCTAAACTCTCTTTTGATTCCACTATACTCAATGGATCTAATTTATACAATATTGATCTATCTATACAATATTAATTTACAAAATCCTTGCCACACGAACAGAAATACTTGTAAAACCCTAAACAAAATTATTATTTTTAGCTCTAAACCAGAAAACCTCACAAAAATACCTCAAATATTATACAAGACAAAGTGATCGATAAAACTTGAACCAAAATTAGCCATCCATAATAAAGACTCATAAGACAAAGGAAAAACCCCTGATTTTAACAATTTAGTGTTAAATAAAGTCACCCACTAAGGAATTCCCAAATTAAACAAAGGGAAAATACCCTAAAAGAAAAAGAAAAAAGAAGCATTAAAACAAACCTACCAAAGAAATTTATACTACAAACAATTTTAACACCATATAAACTCATAAACCACGAATCAAAGAAGAATTAATAGTAGCCCTACTAACAAAAAGTTCTCAAATTGAAATTAAGTGCCCCTTCTGCAGTTTTAAAGTCGAGGACCTCATCGGACTGTAAGCATTTTACAAATTCTAGGCTACGAGCTCCACATTTAGCTGTAACATGTGTGTTTCCAAGCCTGGCCAGTAGAACTGCATAGTGTCCCACTCTTGATGCAGCAATGATCAATATGTTCTTTCTTTCACCACTTCCATCAAGCTTGATGTTTGCAAACAGGGTGAGAATTTGGTGAGTAGTAGTAATGGCAGCAACAGATAGGGCTGCAGCTTCAGGTGAAACTTCTGGTGGTCTGGTAACTGTCAGATTCTCCTATGCCACGACGTATTCAGCCAGTGCACCCCCAGTCTGTAAGTTGCAATTTAAATTGGTCACACTTTTGGTTCTCCACAGAAAGCTCACTTAATTGTCTTATGAGATCGGACCTCAATGACCTAAAAAATAGCAAATACCAGGTGACTGAGGTTGGGCATGCACCTCACTAATATGGAATTCACAAAAAAAAAAAAAAAAAAAAAAAAAAAAAAAAAAAAAAAAAAAAAAAAACAGAAGGATGAGAATGGGGAAGTAAGAAACTAACAACATAGCTAAGAAAAGCCACAATTTTGTCACCAGTTCTGAACCTTGTTATCACATATCCGGACTAAACTACTTCCACAGCAACGTCAGTTCCTAAACCAACATAAAAAAAACGATCATAAGATAAAGAAGGATCATGCAAGATATAGTCATCCTCTATGTAATGATTTGCTTGTTCGTATTAAAATCACTGATTTACAAGCACCCATTAATATGCCTTCTTAAGCTCTTACACTACAGATTGAGAAAGTTTTTAAGGAAAATGGGCACAGCCACAACATGATATAGCAAATTCAAAACTTGACATACACCATGAAATTAGTTCAAAACATGAATATTACAACATAATACAATAATATATAGAGTTAAATCTTCAGCATATATGAAATATTATAAGGCGCTGGTATAATACAACATCATCATTCGCATCCTAAACAAATAGGCATTGATCTGCTTCAGATACTGAGATTTGCAACACAATTCTCCAGAGCTGCCACTGGTTACCACCATCCACAGCTTTCTCATGGGAAAGAAGAGAGGGGGCAGAGGTGGATTGAGTTTTAAAATTGAACCACTAAAACTTTGAAATTTTAAAAAAACGACCATACCCGCCTTTAGATTGAGTTTAAGCCTTTTGCAAGCAACATTTAATTACGGTTATAGTATAATACAATACAAAGCCCTTTCCGTTGTGTCTCACTACTGGTATAATTCATGTAGAGACTAAAGAAGCAAGAAAGATAAATAAGTTCACATCACCTGGTAACTTCTTGAGAATGATTTTGCAGCCACTTTAATCTGGTTTACAACAAACATACCCGTACTATTTTTTTTGACTTTCAATTACAATTGAACAAAGTAGGTTTGCTAATAATATATTTCTGTACCATCCATATCACAAGAAAATAATAAAAATACACTATAAAACTAAGAGTGATAAAATATGGTATATTATTATATCACCTTTATTACAGTCCAAGCATGAATAGTGAGAGTAATAAAATGTAATTTATTGTCATTGATACTATAAAATTAAAGGTAGTAAGGTACTAAACCTCAAAATTGAACCACTAAGAGCTGCCATGTATCCTCTCAAATTTCTTCCTTTTCTGCCTTATCTCATTTCTCCTTCTTATCCCTCTCCCTTTCCCCTTTTCTTGCTTTTTTCTTCCTTCCTTCCATTCCCTTATCTTATTTAATTTCTTCTTCCTATGACACCTTATTAAGAATTCTTTAATGATATACACTCATATGCAGCCATCCCCACACTCTTAAAGTACTTTCTATCTCTCCATATCTCCTCTCTACTCTACATCCACCCCCTCACCTCTCTCCCCCTATTTCCTTATTGTCATCCTCACCTTTCCTCTTTTTCTCTATCCCTTCCTCACTCCTGCTTCCTCACCTTTTCAATCCTTCATACCTTCTCTCTGCCTTACATGACATTCTTAGACATCTGTGGTTTGTATTGTGACAAATTTTCCACATAAATTAGAACATGTATATTTTTTGTAGCCTAGAATACTATTATAGACTCTAAAGGAAGAGAGGAGAGAAACAATAGTGAAAAACTACTTTACTTCTACAAAAAGGGCCATGATACATTTTGCCTTTCTATCTCATACTATCTTCTTATTCACATATTTATTAATTCAATTAAACCCTAAAATTAAGCACATTTAAAGATAAAATTCAAAAACGGTAAAAAAAAAAAAAAAAAAAAAAAAAAAAAAAAAAAAAAAAAAAAAAAAAAAAAAAAAAAACTCAAATCAAGCACAGAGTAGTTCTCGACACCCAGCTCTTTATTATGCTAGCTTATCAAGTTAAAAAGTCCAACAATTAAAGTAATGGTACTGAATACTTAAAGTCAGTAATTTAGAGAAATAAGAACAGATGGTTAACAAGATGTGAGACATGGTGAGAAATCAGACAAAGGCTAATCTTATTCTTATGTTATGCCCCGTCTATTTGGATATAATAGGTGTATTAAACTTCTATAGTGTATTCTTGTCCACTTTGAACATTTTTTTCCTTAATTAGCTAGAAAAATTATAAGAAGATGGCATATTATTTATGAGAAATCCAGACATATTGTCGAAGTCAGAAATTAGCCGATAGTTACTAAAGTCAAATGTGCCTATCATTTTTAAAAGGAAGGAACAAAAGATTTACACTAAGTATGATGAACATATTAGAATAATATCACCAAATTGTTAACTCAGTAAAGTAATGTTTTGTATCCACTGCTGAGCAGGTAAGCCTTGTTATATGTTTACAAAGCTTTGACAGCTAATCTGAGAAACAATAAAGACAAAACTACCAACTCTAAGCCCCCATCCACCACCCCCTTCCCCCCCCCCCCCCCAAAAAAAAAAAAAAAAAGAAAATTAGAAAAATAAATATATTTAAAAAAAAAAAAAAAAAAAACCCGCACCTCTGAATGATCTCTTCCATCACCTCCTTCTTACTCTTCATCCTCTGCAAATTAGACAATCATATTAGTGTTACAATGTAAGGACTATGCATACTTCAGCTGCTAGAACAATTAAAATAAGTGTACAAATTGTACATGATGTTTGATATAACAATGTCTAAGAACAAAGACGGAAAGTATGACAGGAGAAAGTCAAGATATGCTACAATTGTGCAATAAAGAGACAGTAAACCAAATAAGAAAAAAAAAATTACATTTTTCTAGCTACAGAACAACATGCAAGAAGAAAGACTTGCTTGGCTGCATTTATATTCTCAACTCCTAGGTGATATCATTCACTACATGGATATAATAAACCTTTTAAAGCTCATCTTCTTTACATGACCATATTTAGATATAATCTAAAGGTCCAAAAATAACTTTCTAAACGAGGGGACTGCTAGGAATTGGTATAAACCAGTAGCTAAGCGAGCTAAGAGAGACAACAATGGCAGCCAGGGAATGAAATTGTAATATCAAACAGAGTGTTCAACAATACAGCCTTCTTTCGAGAGGAAGGAGCTCTCCAATACAGGCCACTTGACTAATTAATTGCTTGATACATTCCCCCTTTACGAAGATACTATTAATACCCACAAATAACTCATAAAATAAGCTTAAACACAGCTAAAGCATGCCAGCAAGAATAACAAACTCATAACAAACTTTTCTATAGATTACTATTATACCCTCTACCCCAAAACTGGTATTAACAGCCATCCAGCTCAGCAAAACCTCCAACTAATTCTTCTTGGGCCTCCTAGCATAGGTGAAACGGATATCGGTTTTAGGCCGGTTCCTTGCAATACCTCCCACCCAAAGTTGCACCTTGTCCTCAAGGTGGAAACTAGGGAACCTGAAGTTAACCTCGTCAAAGAATTCCCAAGTAGCCTCAAAATCCTGCAGACCCTTCCAGTGAATCAACACCTCCATAGAAGCTTGAGAATTTCTTACACCCAGCACTGCCAATGGCTCAACTTCCAGGACCAAGTCAGCAGTCAGCTGTCCAGGAAGACTAGTAGGACGATGTCCTGCCCCCAGAGCCTTTTTCAACTGAGAGATGTGAAAAACAGGATGAATTTTTGACCCTGAGGGTAGTTGCAGCTTATAAGCAACCTTACCAATCTGCTGAATCACCTGGTAAGGACCATAAAAACGGGGAGATAGCTTATCATTTGACCTTCGCACCAGAGACCGTTGCCTATAAGGCTGTAGTTTCAGGTAAACCAGATCACCCACCTGGAAACCTCCCTCTCGCCTTCCTTTATTCTCATAATGTCGCATGTAAACCTGAGCCTGAACCAAATGGAACTTCAAGTCATCAAGTATAGCATCGCGTTCCTGCAATTGTGCTTCCACAGAGGCCACCGATGTACTTCCAGCACAGAACCTAATCAAATGAGGAGGGTCCCTGCCATAGAGAGCCTTGAAAGGGTTGTAGTTGGTGGCAGTGTGGAATGAAGTATTATACCAATATTCTGCCCAAGGTAACCAACGGGCCCATGTATGCGGTTTGCCATTCACAAAGCATCTCAAATATGATTCCACCCCCTTGTTGACAACCTCAGTTTGGCCGTCCGTTTGGGGATGGTAGGCTGTGCTGCGCATAAGCTGAGTTCCCTGAAGCTTGAATAATTCCTTTCAGAAAATGCTAAGGAAGACCTTGTCTCGGTCTGACACAATGGAGCTTGGGAAGCCATGTAGCTTTACTACCTCAGCCATGAATTGTTGTGCCACGCTCTGAGCAGTAAAAGGGTGCTTGAGCGAGATAAAGTGTCCATACTTGGTTAATCGATCCACTACCACGAGTATGGTGTCCCAGCCCAAAGACTTCGGCAAACCCTCCACGAAATCCATAGATATGTCCTCCCAAACCCTTTCTGGAATTGGCAAAGGTTGGAGAAGACCCAAAGGTGACAATGCAGAATGCTTGTTCTGCTGACACACATGACAGTGTTGGACATATTATGTCACATCTTTCCGCATACCAAACCAAAACCATTCCCCTGCCAAACGGTGGTACGTCTTTAGGTCTCCAGCATGCCCTCCCACCACCGAGTCATGATACTCTTTGAGAAGCTTGGAGGTCAGTTCACAGCGCTTCGGAATAACTATCCTCCCCTTATACTTTAAAACCCCATTCTCCAGAGTGAACCACTTTGGTACTGCCTCCCCATGTTTGAGTTGCGAAATCAAACGTTGGAGAGGTTCATCCTTCTCTACAAAGGCCCGAACATAATCCCAGCGCAACCCACAGGAAGTCACCATAGTACCACACTCGTACTCAGGGCTATGTTGGCGGGAAAGCGCATCTGCCACTTTGTTGGTAGGACCAGGCTTGTAGTGAATGTCGAAAGTGTACCCCATCAACTTGCTAATCCACTTCTGATATGCCTGACCCACCTCTCTTTGTTCCAACAAATACTTAAGGCTTCGTTGATCAGTGCGAACACTGAAATGTCGGCCCAGCAAATAATGTCTCCATTTCTCCACGGCAAACACAATTGCCATAAGCTCCTTCTCGTATATAGGCTTGCCCCTATTTCTGATTCCCAAAATCTTGCTAAAATACGCAATAGGATGCTCTGCCTGTAGCAGGACAGCCCCTAAACCATGCCCTGACGCATCTGTTTCAATCACAAATGGTAGAGCAAAATTTGGTGCAGCTAAGATTGGAGCATTTACCATGGCGGCCTTTAATGTGTTGAAAGTCGTAGTAGCAGCCTCGGTCCACCCAAAATTCTCTTTGCGCAATTGCTCAGTCAAGGGAAGTCAAGGGAAGGGCAATCTGAGCATACCCTTTGATGAACTTACGATAGTACCCTGTGAGGCCCAGGAACCCCTGAGCTGCTTCAAGTTCGTGGGAGGAGGCCAATCTAACATAGCCTTCACTTTGGAAGAGTCAACTTCCACACCTACTGCCGAGATCACATGCCCCAAATAAGCCACCCTTTCCTTCCCAAACTCACATTTCTTAAAATTGGCAGAAAGGCGGTGGTCAGCTAAAATTTGCGAAACTTGCTGTAAATGAGTTTTATGCGTGTCAACACAGGGGCTATATACCAGGATATCGTCGAAGAACACCAATACAAACTTCCGCAAAAAAGCCGGAATACATCATTCATAAGCGACTGAAAAGTGGCGGGGGCGTTGGTTAGCCCAAAAGGCATTACGAGGAACTTGTAATGACCCTCATGGGTTCGAAAAGCTGTCTTATGCACATCCTCGGGCTTTACCCGGATCTGATGGTAACCCGACTTGAGATCGAGTTTTGTGAAAATCGCTGAACCACCCAATTCATCCAACAATTCATCGATGATGGGTATCGGAAATTTATCGGGGACTGTTTCCTTGTTAAGGGCCCTGTAATCAATGCAGAAACGCCTGGATCCGTCCTTTTTTACCAACAAAACTGGATTGGAATAAGAACTTGTCGAGGTCTGAATGATCCCTGCCATCAGCATATCCAATCTTTCAATTTCATCCTTCTGGGTTTGTGGATATCGATACGGCCTGACACTAATCGGGTTGGCACCACTATGTAAAACAATGGAATGCTCGATGTGTCTCTGAGGGGGTAACCAGCAGGCATGTGAAAAACCTGCTGAAATTCCTGAATCAAAGGCATAAAAACCTCAGGAATTTCTGGTTCAGATTCTTCTGCTTTTTCTAAGTGGTTCAATTCCAGCAGGTAACCAAACCCTTCCTTCTGCAAATTTTTGAACATTGCTTTCAAGGAGATTCCAGTCCGTCCCAATTGAGGGTCTCCCTTCAAGGTAACCGTGTTGCCATTCAACTGAAATTTCAATGTTTGAGTTTTCCAGTTGGTTGTGATCGTGCCCAGCTTCTCAAACCATTGGATGCCCAGAATCATGTCTGAGCTCCCTAAAGGAAGTATGAGGAAATCCTCAACAATCGAGACCCCTTGGAGGTCGAGCAAGACGCCCTTACAAATCCCTTCCCCTTGCACCGCTTCTCCCCGAAACTTCTGGATCCTATGGAATTGAGACCCAATTTCAGAGCCGCCTCACTAGAAATAAAATTGTGAGTTGCCCCGGGATCTATCATCACCACCACGGGACTTGCATTCACCATACCAGCCAAGCGCATGGTCTTAGGGCTAGTCAAGCCCATAACAGAACTCACCTCCGGTGGAGCGGAGCGAATGACTCTGGAGGAGGAGGAACCAACTCATCGGCGTTTGTTTCCACCACGGAGAGGTCGCCGGCATCGTCCTCGTCCACTTCTTCTTCCATGAGCAGCACGCTCAATCCACGGCGATTGCAACAGTGGTTTATTGTCCACTTTTCATCACAACGGAAGCACAGGCCCTGTTCCCGCTTCTGTTGGAGCTCCTTTTCCGACAACCGCCTAATTTCTCCGGTGTGTTTGGGGTTGTTAGCGGCGGTGCGACCTGGGTGAAGGTGTTTGGGATTCGTGTTTAGGGTCGTGTTTTGGTTGCTGGTGAGGAGGTGAGTATTTGGGTTTGTGTTTGGGTTGTTGTGTGGGCTGGGTCGTAATGCTGGATTCGGGATTCTCCAAGGGGGAAGGCTGCCATGAGTTTTGGGCTTTGGGCTGATTCTCAATTTTTCTTCGACCCGCATTGCCAGCTCCATGGCATATGATCCAGAGAAACCGGATCCAAAAGTCGGACCTCAACCCGGATTTCTTCCTTAAGTCCATTAAGGAATTGCCCCTTCGCAATCTCCTCAGGAACTCCATCAATTGGAGCCAAGAGCTCAATAAATCGCCGCCGGTAATCCGCCACGGTGCCGCTCTGCTGGTGGGCCAGCCACTGCTCGTGCAAGGTGCCTGTTGCGGTGGTTCTGAAGCGGTAGAGAAGGAGGCGTTTCAGCGCTTCCCATGAAGGCAAGGGTTGTCGGTTCTCCCACTGAAACCAAAGCAAGGTGTCACCATCCAACGCCACCACGGCGGCTTCCAGCTTATCCTCCTCATTGAGCCGGTAAAAATGGAAAAACCTCTCCGCACGGAGGATCCATCCATCCGGATTCGTTCCCTCAAAAATGGGCAAGTCAAGTTTGCTAAGTTTCCAATTCGATTGACCACCCTGAAAACCTCCATCTCCGTAGTCCAGATGCTGCTGGGACGAAAATGGATTATCCCAGTGATTTGGAGACCCATTTCCCTCAGAAGAGCGAAATTCCGAACTGAGTCTCTCCTGCCCAGCCGTGATCGGGGAGGTGATATCTGTTTTGAAAGCCGCCATTGCGGTGGTGATTTCTTGAGCCACACGCGAAGGCAAACCGGAAATTTCTTGCTCCAACAGGTCCAGGCGTTGGCCATGATTAAGGCGAGCCATCTTCTGTCCCTGCTTGGACCATTACTACTCTGATACCAATTTGCTAGGAATTGGTATAAACCAGTAGCTAAGCGAGCTAAGAGAGACAACAATGGCAGCCAGGGAATGAAATTGTATTATCAAACAGAGTGTTCAACAATACAGCCTTCTTTCGAGAGGAAGGAGCTCTCCAATATAGGCCACTTGACTAATTAATTGCTTGATACATTCCCCCTTTACCAAGATACTATTAATACCCACACATAACTCATAAAATAAGCTTAAACACAGCTAAAGCATGCCAGCAACAATAACAAACTCATAACAAACTTTTCTATAGATTACTATTATACCCTCTACCCCAAAACTGGTATTAACAGCCATCCAGCTCAGCAAAACCTCCAACTAATTCTTCTTAGGCCTCCTAGCACAGGTGAAACGGATATCGGTTTTAGGACGGTTTCTTGCAGGGACAAAATAACATATGCAAGATATATAGTGGCATATTGGCTTTTTTTTTTTTTTGTTGCTTCCACACTAATCAAATCTAAAAGGCTCTGGTAACCATGGAAAGACTTTTTCTCAAAAGTCAAGGATAAGATTTAAGTCACATGGACTTGCTCTTCACCAGGATTCAGAACACAAATGTCATTGATTAGTCTTACACTGAGTACCCAACTAATCATCTTGACTACTGAGGAGTTCAGGTAAAAATAGAATCGTTGTTGTTTGTTCTCAAATCCATGTTTTTGAAGGTCCCTCCAACCTTTCTTCGTACCACTGGACTACATTAGCTCTCTTCACCTAGGAAGTCAACAAGATAATGTAAACCAGGCCACAACCTGCTCTATAGGGCATATATCAACCAATATCTACTGCTTGTATTAACATATCATCAACCGGTCCGATTACCCAAATGAGACAGCTCAAATTATTGATTTCATTATTGTCAAGCACTGAAAACAGTATAATATAAAAAATTCATAAGCCTGAACAAGCAAGCATCAATTAAGAAAATTTAGAACACTAAAAAGAAGAGATCAGAATGCTCAAGAGTAAAGCACCAGGGTTAATAATACTAATCAAGTTGTAGTAACTTGCAGATGCAAATAAAAAAAGGGAGCAACATCTTCAACCCCCCTACCCCAACAACAACAAAGCCTTAATCCCAAAAAATTTTGGTGTGCTAAAATGTCAAAAATTCTCACAAAACATGTAAACTAACATTGTACAAAGGATGTTTCAAAAAAAAAAAAAAAACATTGTACAAAGGTGAGCAGATAGAAGTTTAGAATTTGTTCCTATAAACTACCACATGTAGTAAGCTATCAAATGACTCATAGCTAATTAATAAATGGAATTGTAATAGTTCGCTCACCATTGCACAAGAGCCCCTCTAATACATTCCTGAGTTGCGGATTAATATTTTCTGGGAGATCAATTGGATCATTAACAATCTGGGACATCAAAACAGTTGTCAGAATAGAAAAGGAACAAACTTTGAACATTAAATACACTTTTTAAAGCATGTAGCTGATTGTGGATGAGAAACCAACGCACCTTGTCATAGATTTCTCGTAGTTTCTCTCCAATAAAGGGAAACTTTCCCATTATCATACAGTACAAGGTGATACCCACAGGCCATTTATTAGCAGCTTTGCCACGATAAGACCTGTTTGACACAAAATCCCCAAGGATGAAGACCATGAAGAAATATTTCAACAGTCTCCCATATTGAAAATCTATCGTAGAGGGTCATTTGCAGCACTATAATAACCTAAGCAACACTCAGGCACAATTATAACAAGTGTCCTAGGAGAGCGGCGAAGCTCATCATTATCTTCCTGGATATATGACGATTGAAATAAAGGGAAAAACATCAGGCATGAGAGAAAAGAAATACACAGTTTACTTAGAGCACAAAAATGAAATATCAAAAGCACTCTGATAGAATGTAAATCTATATTGAGTTTATGGCATTCAGCACACATCTCCTGACTGAGTTCCTTATTGTAAATGCTGACAAATCAAGCAAGATTACATAGGTCATAGTTCATTTAATTCAACTCTATACCATCTCATTTCAGTCTATTAACATAGCTATTGTACGTGTACATGCAAATTACAGAAATAATGATGGTCTATACCATTAACCAAAACAAAAATTGAAATCAGACGAAACAATCACAAAAAACTTTACGAAGAACCAAAAATTACCATAAAACTCGCAAAGCCAACCGCAAAAATCGAATCAAAAATTACAAACAATAAAAATCGAAAAATATTTGGGGAACCTAGAATCGAACAAATGAGTACAAAAAGAGGAAATTACCAGAAGAATGAAGTCGTCGTCGTCTTCGTCTGAGAGCAGAGAGAAAGTGAGGATGAGTAAGAGAGAGAAAACGCGGAGTTGACAACATATTAATTCACCCTAGACCACAAGTCGGGATCTACGATAGGGACAGGGGAGCGATATCAATACTCTACAACCTCAATTCAACTCCACTACTCTCTTAACATAATAATTATAAAAAAAAAAAAAAATGTTAATTATTAATAGCTAACTCACTCCAATCTATTGCTATCCTTTTTTGCAAAATTACTACTTTGAATCATAAATCTTTAAAGTTTTGGCCAACATTGTAGGTAAATGTGTTAGAGATATGAGATAAAATTAATACCGAAAAATATGTGTTGTGATATATTTTCCATGTTGATAATATTAGGAGAATAATATATTATTTAAGATTATTGATGTTAAAATATTATTTAGTGAACATATTTCTAAAATTTTTGGTTATAGTAGTATATCTTTTAAAGCAGTAAGTCTTGTGTAAGGCGGACTTACATTAATTTTATTGTAAGACGGTCAGATTAAGGGCAACTTTAACAATTTTTTATGATAACTTTGATCACTTTAAGGTAGGGCTGGCAATCCCTGACCCGACCCGATAACCTGACCCAAACCCGACCCGAATTTACCGAGAGAAACCCAAACTTGACCCGACCCGAACCCGAACCCGAACCGAACAACCCGAATTCAACCCGATTTGACCTAAATTTCATATTTCGTAATAACATTCAGTTTTACACTATTTTTGATAGTTTCTAAGCACAACCCGAAATCGACCCGAAATCTGACCCGAACCTGACCTGCTGACCCAATTGCCACCCCTACTTTAAGGGTAACTTATAATTGTAAGAAGTTTGATTGTATTTTTATGCATAGTTTTTAATGGATACATGTTATAAAGACTAATATGATTAATCTAATACATTAAAAGTGCATTTTAAGGGTAAAATTTATGTTTGGATAATGGCAACTTTTGTTGTAAATAAGGGTAACTTAAATACTTTTAGAGTAACTTTAACCTGTCTTACAATTAGTTAATGAAAGCTCGCCTTAATCTATAATTTGTGTTTTTTGAGGGAAACCATTTTTTCATTTAGTCATTCCTTGTTATGACTAAAAAAAAATAAACAAGTAATCTCTTACATAACTATGGATCATTAATTCTCATAACTTGCCTATAATGAGATCATTAACAAGAAATCATTTAAGAAAAAAAATAGTGAATTATCATATAACTGCATGAAAATGTAAGACAAAAAATAATTTAAGTAATCGTAGTTTAATTTGTGTATAGAAGCAGGACAAGACGTATCACATATCACAAAACCTAGATTCATAGAGCCAAAGATCTCAAAAATATTGCTTCTGTCTTAATTGAGTACCGACATATATAATGTAATAATTACATAAAAAAAACATCAACCTCACACGTTAAAGTCGTTCAATTCATAACTCCTTGGTTTCTTGTATTTGATTTTTCGTTTGACGACTCATTGCGATAATTTTTCAAAGTAAAGTTATAATCATTCGTTCTTTTTTATTTGTTCCATTTAAATCCTTAAATAGAAGACAAAAACTTTAAGTATTCAGAATTTTTTGATAAACAATATTAAAAAAGCATAATTAGGTGAGTTCTTGTTAAAGTAATTTAGATGTAGAGTGTCAAATTTATATAAAATTTTTAATAATTTCTGGTTGAAAATATCATGCTCAAAATCTACATAAGAAGGTATAAAAAAAAATGTAAAAAAAAAAAAAAAAAAAAACAAAAAACAAAAAACTACAGGATACAAAGAGATATATTGGGCCATATAATATAAATTTAGGACACATAACACATATATATGTGCAATGCCTTGATTTTGAGGGCGAAATAATAAGCAAGCAACAGTTATATATTATGGTGACAAAACCTTAATATTTGTCTTTTGGTATTGTCATCATATGATTGTCTCTTGATGCTACTTGTTGACGAAATTATTGGTTTCAGGATTGCCATCTTGGATTTTACCACCATAAGAAATCAGTGAATCATTGATGAAATATATGAAAATTATCACTTCCTTTGGCCAGAGATTATTATTTATTATTATACTTTCAGAATTTTGTTTTACATTGAATTAGTAGGATTACTGTTTTGAGTAAGTATAATTGATACATAACAAAGAAAAAAATAATGATTCGATGAAATAACTTTTGTTCAAACGAAATTAGACTAGAAGAAATTTAGAGAAATGATACGTAGTAAAATTAAACCAAAAAGAAAATTGAAATTTAAGAAGCAAAAACGAAAAAAAAATTATTCAATTGTTTCCTTCTCTTTTGCTATATGCCCAAGATCATAGGTGCAATTCTGTCCATGCATCTTTTGCTTACAAAAATTTCCTTCTCCTGTATATATTTGTTTGAACAATTTATTATCTAGGAAGGGGGTTTATATTTTAATGAGTTTGCATGTAATGACCTAGTTATGCAACATAAGTTTTGCTCCTTGTAAATGTCGTGACGTAACACAGGCAAACTCTTGATCAAGCATATTCTGAACGGTCATTGATTATACTCACTTACCACCTCTGATTCTTATTATTTGCAACAAATGAATTTTTTATATCTCACAATTAATAACCCTTTGTTGTAAATAATAAAAAACCGATGTAAAATGAGATTCTAGGTGTCCCTCATAAGTAAATATGCCAATAAGGACACCAGGCACAGTCCTCCAAAATATTAATCAGTAGAACATGAGCTATATTATGCTAATGGTAGTAATTTTTTTTTCTTTTTAATTAATTGTAGTGATGTTGAAGTCATAACGAAGTAAAAAATAAATAAATTTATATACGGCACAAAATACTCCTTTAAAATGTATTTTAAATTCATTAAATATAATATAATGTGGATATAGTACAACCTAATTGATAAGCTATATGGACTTGGCCAAGCACCCAAAACGAAATTTAACATGTCCAATTATCTGCTGATCTAGTCTAGTACCTTCCAACTCCGCACCCTTGTGGCCGGACCCATGGTTCAAACCTTGGCCGTCGATCGAGTTAGACTAACCACTCTTATCCTTAGTCATTTTCTAAATATTTAAGAAAAAGATCGTTACATTGTTACTCAATTTGTGTCAGTATAATGAGAAGTGTACTACTATAAATTGAATGAAATACATTCATGGGAGTCAAATAACATGGATGATACCAGTTAATCAGGGACCAGGCCAGGTCAAACGAGGAACCTTATTTTATACACAAAAGGCAAATGAAATCAAACAAAAATCAAATAACTTCATATTATAACAAGACATTATTTGTTGTACAATTCTCTGTACATAAAATGTGTTATGCAGGTTTGTATTTAAGTTGCTTAACTTTTAGCTCTATCTTTCTATCACAAAAGCTAAACATCTCCACTACCCATGTTTCTCTCCTCTTCAAAAATATTTAGAAAAATAAAAAAAAAATAAAAAAAAAAATAATTAAAAGTTAAGAGCGTTTTTATGATCAACCAAAATACAATTTATGGAGAGACAAATTTTGGATAGGATTATATGACACCACTAAGAAGAACCACCCTACATACTTAACAAAAAGAGTTTCCTTTTCCCAATATTTATTGTTGTCTTTTTGATAAGAATAAATTTATACTTTGTATTATTCTAAAGGAATTATTGGTTTGTTTGTGAGCAATTTTGATCCAAAAAGGTTACTTATTTTATCAACATAGAAGTGTTTGGCTAACTTGTTGTTTGTGAGGACCATCACTAGCAAAAGTTATGCCAATTCGATTGTTTATTGAAATAATATTACGTACTAATTAATTCCGTTACATAATTAGATTCAATTGAAATATATTTTATCCGTTCTTTTTAAGTTGACATATTTAAAATATCACTTTGTCAATACATAACTATAACTATCATTATCGCTAATTCTCAATAAGTAAAACTTATCCTTAAGAATAAAAAGTGTGAACAACTAAACAATGCAAAATTCAAAATCGTTTAATAATTGGTAAAAAAAAAGGGCGAAAGGATGTATTTTTTGGTGGTTTTAAATGAAGAACAAGTCAGTATGTATTATAGTGTCTAGTAGACAGTATCTATTGTAAAGTTAGCTAGTGTATACTTTTTTGCTTTTTTTTTTTTTTTTTTTTTACTAACAACATAACATTTTAAATTTTTAATAGTGTACAATATTCTAATACTCAACTTTAATTACATTTCTTAACATATACATAAATAAAAACAATCATATGAGATCTTGTTAGATTCAATATTCATTCTATTAAATTCTGATAAATTTTTACAAATGCATAATTATAAAGATATAAAAGGTTGAATTTATACATTGACAAATGTGGAAAAAAGTGTTGTAAGTGCAAAAAAATGTATTATTCAGGGATCTAGAGTAAAGGTAGCTAGGGTATATAATGTGCACCATATATATATGTTGGTGATAAGAGTTGTAGTATATATTTGTATTTACTTATATATTGTTTTCTAGGGAAAAGAGGGTTGGTCTCTCTCAATAATAATAATAATAATAGTAGAATTGAAGTAAGATTACATTGATTTGATCCCTCAAATGGGTCATGCCATAAGGTAGAGGGGGCAATAAATCGTGAAAGTTTCGGAAATTAGGTATATTGGAAAGCTACCCTTTATTTTGCTGCATGACAGCGATGCTAAAGTATGGCCTTACTACGAGCACAAGCTCCTTTTCTCTGCCTTCATTAGGATATTTTTCATCTGGCTAATTGCTATTGTTTGTTATTTCAAAGTGATCGAGGTCCGATATGATATTTATATACGTTGAACCATACCAAGGGAGTAAGGTACTCAAGTCACTCAACCTTGTATTCATTAAAAACTTACAAAGAAACTGCTTATGGATGAGCGATAAGTATATAGTCAATTCATTAATTGTATCTAAAAGTGTAAAATTGTTTGTTAATTAGATCAGGTTTGCTTTAGGTTAGTTTGATACCGCTCATTATCAATTGATGAATAAATCAATTGGTTTGGGTTTGGATTTGGGTTTGGGTTGTTATTAATGATCCAGTTTAGAAGAGATTGCAACATAGGCTCTGATACTACATTAAAATTTAAGCGAATATAATTACGTTTGGGAAGCCCAAACAAGAAGGAGGAGA